AAGAAGGATCCAGCAGTAATGCATTAGCATTGTAAGACATCAATATGCACATGTTTAATTCACAGATGGAGATATATATGTTTATGTTTATATGCATGTTTATGTATATACACTTGTTATTGCATAGACACACAGCATACATGCTTGCATACATACATATTCATTGATATATGGATAGAAGTGAAAGTGGCTCAGTCGTATCTGACTCTTTGCGACCCCATGGACTATACAGTCCATGAAATTCTCCAGGCCAGAATACTGGAGTGGGTAGCTTTTCCCTTCTCCAGGGGATCTTCCCAACCCAGGGACGGTACCCAGGTCTCCCACATTGCAGGCAGATTCTTTACCAGCTGAGCCACAAGCAAAGCCCAAGAATACTGGAGTAGGTAGCCCATCCCTTCTCCAGGGGATCTTCCCAACTCAGGAATTGAACCAGGGTCTCCTGCATTGCAGACAGATTCTTTACCAACAGAGCTATCAAGGTAAGCCCATATGGATATAAAAGGGTTACTATTCACATGTATGGCTTCCCAGGACATATACTCATTGCTCCGCCAGTTGAGAGAACCTAGAAGCAAGAACATCCCAGTAGCAATGAGCATACCTGGTGCCTAGATCCTGGTTTCTAATACCATTTTCCCATAAAAGGAACCAGCGCTCCTTGGGGAAATGGCTAATACCAAGTTGAGAGCATCTTATGCTAGAAAGTAAGAAAGCAGTCAGTAAAACACAATAATGGAAGTATGCCAAAGAAACAATGTAGCCAATAGAAAGAGTTCTCAACAGCCACAGTGGGAAAAGTTTGAGTAACAAAGTGGTATTGTATTATAGCACAAAGTATAAAATAAGTGTTCATGAGTTCATACTGATATCATAAATGACTTGATAAATAAGTGGGGGAGAAGAGACAAATTTTTCCTGCAGAAGAATTCCAAGTAATTTATGTGGATACCATGCCCTTAAGAAAGTGGAGCGTCACTCTCGACTCATGTGTGGGTTGTGCAATGATTTCCTTCCAAAGAACACAGGCAAAGAAGGGCAAGAGTAACTTCACAGCAGAGAAACGTGACAAACACCACCTTAGCCAGGTAATCAAGATTAACATTAATAGTAATAATTCACATCGATAGCATGTACTCTTAATGTGCTATGAGAACAGCAATTTATCTCTGTGGTCTTCCTCCCCAAAACCATTACCCCAATCTAATCATGAAAAAAATATGAGCCAAGTCCCAGGTGAGAAATATTCTACAAAATACCTAGCTAATATTCCTTGAAACTGTCAAATTCATCAAAAACAGGGAAAGTCCAAGAAAGTGTCACAGCCAAGAAGGGCCTAAGGAGACGTGATAACTAAATGTCAGGATGGCCTTCAGGTGCACTTGCTGCTCCTGGGACAGAACACTAAGGGGAGAAGGAGGACAGAGGCTCATCCAAAGCTTAGGGAAGCATCTCCATGAGTGCAGGCACAGCTCCCACCAATTTTCCTGACTCAAACGCACACAGACAAAATGTTCCAGGCTGGGACTGCAATCTAGTTAGGAAACTAGTTTCTGGAAATGGACCTGAACTGGCAGCCTCCACCACTATGTAATTTGTTACTCTGGGAAGATTGTTAAGCCTCTCTCTGCCTCTTTTCTCATCATTCCTAAAATAGAAATTATAATTGTAGCCACTATCATTATATTGTTTATGAGAAGCCATCAGGATAAAGTGCATAGGCTGCTTGGCCTAGTACTTGACACTTAGCTCTCAATAAATATTATTGTTGTTCAGTCACCCAGCCCTGTTCGACACTTTGTGAGCCCATGGACTGCAGCACACCAGGCCTCCCTGTCCCTCACCATCTCCTGAAGTTTGCCCAAGTTCATGTCCATTGCATCAATGATGCCATGCAACCATCTCATCCTGTGACGCCCTCTTCTCCTTCAATCTTCTCCTTCTCAATCTTTCCCAGCATCAGGGGCTTTCCCAATGAGTTGGCTGTTTGCATCAGATGACCAAAATACTGGAGATTCAGCTTCAGCATCAATAAGTCCTTTCAACAAGTATTCAGGCCTGATTTCCCTCAAGAGTGACTGGGTTGATCTCCTTGCTGTCCAAGAGACTCTCAAGAGCCTTCTCCAGCACCAGTTTGAAAGCGTCAAATCTCTGGCATTCTTCCTTCTTTATGGTCCAGCTCTCACAACCATACGTGACCACTGGGAAGACCATAGCCTTGACTATGCAGACTTCTGTCAGCAGAGTAATGTCTCTGCTTTTCAACACACTGTCTAAGTTTGTCATAGCCTTCCTTCCAAGAAGCAATTGTCTTCTGATTTCATGGCTACAGTCACTATCCACAGTGATTTTAGAACCCAAAAAGAGGAAATCTGTCACTACTTCCACCTTTCCCCCCCCTATTTGCCATGAAGTAATGGGGCCAGATGCCATGATCTTAGTTTTTTTAATATTTAGTCATAAGCCAGCTCTTTCACCCTCCTCCACCATCATCAAGAGGCTCCTTAGTTCCTCTTCATTTTCTGCCATTAGAGTGGTATCATCCACATATCTGAGGTTGTTGATGTTTCTCCCGCCTATCTTGATTCCAGCTTCAAACTCATCCAGTCCAGCATTTCTCATGATGTGCTCAGTGTACAGATTAAACAAACAGGGTGACAGCAGACAGCCCTGTTGTACTCCTTTCTCAATCTTGAACCAATCAGTTGTTCCATACAGGGTTCAAACTGTTGCTTCCTGACCCACATACAGGTTTCTCAGGAGACAGGTAAGATGGTCTGGTATCCCCATCTCTTTTAGAGCTTTCCACAGTTTATTATGATCCACACAGTCAAAGACCTTAGCAGAGTTGATGAAACAGAGGTAGGTGTTTTTCTGGAATTCCCTAGCTTTCTCCATGATCCAGCGAATGTTGGTAATTTGATCTCTAGTTCCTTCACTGCCTTGTCATGAAGGGGCTTGCCATAACTCAATGAACCTATGAGCCATGCTGTGTAGGGCTACCCAAGCTGGACTGGTCACAGCAGAGAGTTCTGACAAAATACAATCCACTGGGGGAGGGAAAGGCAAACCACCCCAGTATACTTGCCATGAGAATCTCATGAACTGTATTAAAGGACAATAAATGTTAGCCATTTACTATCTCATTTTGTATGATTCATTATTTAGTATATATATTTTCTGCCAACAGAATTTAAGAAAATTGTTAACCACATACTGAAAAATTAAAAGATGAAAGGGGGCAATGAGTTATAATATAGTTACTACAGGGAGCAGTTACCAGACCATACTGGAGAATCAAAGGAAAGAGTCTGAAACTGTTTTTTAATTAATAGCTTTGTTGAGGATAATTCACACACCATAAAATTCATCCATTTGTGGACAAAGAAGATGTGGTGTACACACACACACACACACATACACGTGCGTGCACACACAATGGAATATTACTAAGGCATAAAAAGAATGAAATAATGCCATTTGCAGCAACATGGTGAAACTAGAGATTATCATATTAAGTGAAGCAAGTCAGAAAGAGAAAGACAAATACCATATGATATCACTTTTGTGTGGAATCTAAACAAAAACACAAATGTTTACAAAACAGAAACAGACTCACAGGCTTAGAAAACAAACTTATGGTTACCAAAGGGGAAGGGTAGGGACAGAGATAAATTAGAAGCTTGGGATGTGCCACTGCAGACTACTATATATAGAATAAATCACATAGTCCTACTGAATAGCACAGGGATCTATATTTGGTATCCTGTAATAAATCATAATGGAAAAGAATATATATGTATAACTGAGTCACTTTGCTGTGCAGCAGAAATTAACACAATATTGTAAATCAACTATATGTCAATCAACTATATGTCAACTATATGTCAACTATATGTAAATCAACTATACGTCAATAAAGTTTTAAAAAATCCATCAGAAATGCATGCTTCAAGGATTTTGCAGTAGATTTATACTCATCACTACAATCTAGTTTCATTTTCATTTATTTACTTATTTTTAATTGAAATATAATTGATGTAGGATATTATGTTCCAGTGTATACCACAATCCAGTTTTAAACAATTCTATCACCTCCGAAAATTCTCTCAAGTCCCTTTGCATTCAGCCCCTAGGCTTCCACACTTAGCAGCAGGTAACTGCTTTCTGCCTGGATAGATTTGCCTAATAAGCTCTACGTTTTTTTTTATACTTTTTTTGCGGGGGGCGGGAAGCGGGGGCGGGGAGGGGGGCGGGGGAAGGGTGAGTCGCTCTGCTATGCTAGCAGGATCTTTTTTTTTTTTTTGCAGGATCTTAATTCCCCAACGAGGGACTGAACTGCGCTACCCTGTCAGTGAAAGCGGAGTCCTAACCACTAGACTGACAAGGGATTCCTTCCTTCCTTTTTTTAAATTTTTTTAATTTTTTTTTCAGTCTAAGTTAAAAAGAAAAAAAAAAGGAGATGGTGCAAAAGAGGTGCTATTTAAAACAACTTTAATAGATTTAAAACATCACAAGTTAAAAGTTGTTTAATAGTAGGTTATAACTTTAAATAACTTAGAAAGCGTTATAAAGCAAAATTTTTAAAAAGGAGGAAAAGTGAGACGAGACTCCAGTGTGGGGAGGCTAAGACTGGGGTAAGGGTTCTACAAAGGGTGTGCAAGGAGTGCCCGGGGCGGGGGGAGGGCGGGGGCGGCAAATGCAGCACCTTGGGCTAGACCCACCCTCACCTGGCCTAGACCACCTCACCTGGACTAGACCACCCTCACCTGGGCCACCGGCCGCCAAGCGCCCTCCTCTCGCGCAGGCGCAGTGACTCCCTCTCGCTGGCGGGGCGGGCTGGGGGCGGAGCCCAAGCGAACATTCACATCGATCGTGAGCCCGTAGCAACTGCTTCTGTCTGGGGTGTAGGTATGGCGCCCGCGAGGAAGCCGAGAGGCGGCGGGAACCCACGTCAGGGTCTCCCCGTGTGCTGACTGCGGCCCTGGTCTGAGTGGACTATGGGGGATCCCGGCTCCCTGGTCACGGAAGGCGGCGCGGGTGAACGGAGCTGGTGCTTGCGGCGAGTGGGGATGAACGCCGAGTGGCTGCTGCTGGAGGATGGAAGCGAGGTGAGGGGGAGGGGTCTTCTTGAGGCGAGGGAAGGGGGTTGGAGGAGGCTGGGGTCCGAGGGAGGCCTCGCGTCCGGGCGGGAGGGATGAACCGGAAAGAGGAGGTGGGAGCAGTAGAGGAGAGCGGTGAGGGGTGGGTCCTGGATGAGGGAACGGAGAAAGGGGCCTGGTGCGAGCGGTTTGGGGGCGGGGAGGGTCTCAGGTGGAAGGTGTCCGGGGGAAGAAGGGCCGCGCGGGAGAAAAGATGGCCCCTCTGACAGCGGCCTAGGCCCGAGGGGCGAGCTGGGCCAGGTGTCTGGGTTGCGGGAAGGAGCCTGGTTGAGGGGCAGAGCGAGAGGTGAACGTCGAGGCTATGAGGACCGCTGGGGTTTCGAGGGGAAAGGCGACTGTGGGTCTCACGGAGCGCGTCGGCGACCGCCCGGGTGGCGGAACTGGGAGGCGGAGCTGCCCGGCATCTGAGGGGGAAGTTCGGAGGACTGCTGAGAGAAGAAACTTTCTCAAGTTTATTTTGAAAACGATTGCGAGCTTGGGGTAGTGCCCCTTAAAATACCCAGGCTTTAACGTAAAAGTGTCTTTTTCTTTAACAGTTCATGAGAATTGGCGCTTTGATGTGGGCCACAATTGTCCTGTGAGCCTCGGTACTGCCCATTGGCACCTCCTGGGTTGGGGTAGGGTTTCAGAAATATGAGAATTCTCTCCAGAGGCCGTTTATGACGTTCTCCAATGCTGTCATAAATGCAAAACAAAAACAACTTGAGAGGTGAGGCACAGTTTCAGTTGGAGGCCGCTAGGACTGGGGTGGTGGTTTTACAGATGATGGAAAAGAGAGGGAAGAGAGAATGCAGTCTACTTGGAAAGGATGGCTAGATCAGGGACCATTTTGGGGTGACTGGGAACCGTTTTGGTTTTGGAAACATGTGTGTGAAGGACAAACAAGTCTTTAGGTAATTTTATATGTTTAAATTTTTCCTATAAGTTAGGTAATCTCGGCTCAGTCTCGGGTATTTATTGAGTACTTACATTGTTTGGTATAGTAAGAGAGGGATAAATAATAATGGCTTCTACTCTCAAAGAGTTCACTGCTTGACTGGGAAAAGGAGGATTTTATACAGTGAAGCAGTTTGAGAACATCCATGCAGAGGCTAATCAAGTGCCAAGCTGTGGTTTATTTAGTATTAAGGAAAAGAAGGCAGCACGGTTGTCTGAGGAGGCTTTACAAATAGGTGAGAAAAGGAGAGAACCGAAAGGCAAGGGAGAAAGGGAAACAAACACCCAGCTGAATGCTGGGTTCCAGAGAATAGCAAGGAGAGCTTACAAAGCCTTCTTAAGTGATCAGTGCAAAGAAATAGAGTAAAACAATAGAATCTGAAAGACTAGAGATCTCTTCAAGAAAATTGGAAATGTCAAGGGGAACATTTCATGCAAGGATGGGCATGATAAAGGACAGAAACAGTAAGGACCTAACAGAAGAGATTAAGAGGTGGCAAGAATACACAGAAGAGCTATACAAAAAAGGTCTTAATGACCCAGATAACCACAACTGTATGGGCACTAACCTAGAGCCAGACATCCTGCAGTGTGAAGTCAAGTGGGCATTAGGAAGCTTTACTACAAACAAAGCCAGTAGAGGTGACAGAGTTCCAGCTGAGCTATTTCAGATCCTAAGAAATGATGTTGTAAAAGTGCTGCACTCAATATGTCAGCAAATTTGGAAAAGTCAGCAGTCGCCACAGGACTGGAAAAGGTTAGTTTTCATTCCAGTCCCAAAGGACAGTGCCAGAGAATGTTCAAACTAGTGTACAGTTGCACTCATTTCACATGCTAGCAAGGTAATGCTCAAAATCTTCAGCAGTACATGAACCAAGAACTTCCCGGTATACCAGGTAAATTTAGAAAAGGCAGAGGAACCAGAGATCAAATTTCCAGCATCTGTTGGATCGTAGAGAAAACAAGGGAATTCCAGAAGAACATCTGCTTCTGATTCATTGACTATACTAAAGTCTTTGTGTGGATCACAACGAACTGTGGGAAATTCTTAAATAGATGGTAATACCAGACCAGCTTACCTGTCTGTTGAGAACCCTGTGTGCAGGTCAAGAAGCAACAGTTAGAACCTGACATGAAACAACAGACTGGTTCAAAATTGGGAAAGAAGTACATCAAGGCTGTATATTATCACCTTGCTTATTTAGCTTATGTGCAGAGTACATCATGCAAAATGCTGGGCTGGATGAATCACAAGCTAGAATCAAGTTTGCTAGGAGAAAGTGAAGAGGAAAGTGAAAAAACTGGCTTAAAACTCAGTATTCAAAAAACAGATCATGGCATCCAGTCCCATCACTTCATGGCAAGTAGATGGAGATAAAGTGGAAACTAACACATTTTATTTTCTTCGGCTCCAAAATCACTGCAGATTGTGACTGCCATCGTGAAATTGAAAGACACTTGCTCCTTGGAAAGAAAGCTGTAACAAACCTAGACAACGTATTAAAAAGCAGGGACATCACTTTGCCAGAAAGGTCCATATAGTTAAAGCTATGGTTTTTCCAGTAGTCATGTACAGATATGAGAGTTGGATCATAAAGTAGGCTGAGTGCCATAGAATTGATGCTTTCAAATTGTGTTGCTGGAGAAGAGTCTTGAGAGCCCCTTAGACTGCAAGATCAAACCAGTAAATCCTAAAGGAAATCAACCTTGAATATTCATTAGAAGGACTGATGCTGAAGCTCCAATACTTTGGCCACCTGATGCAAAAGAACTGACTCCTTAGAAAAGACCCTAATGCCGGGAAAGATTAAGGGCAGGAAGAGGAGCAACAGAGGGTGAGATGGATAGCATTACCGACCCAATCGATATGAGTTTGAGCAAATTCCAGAAGATAGTAAAGGACAGGGAAGCCTGGCACACTCTAGTTCATGGGATCACAAGTTTTTTTTTTTTTTTAATTTATGCATTTATTTATTTGATCTTAGTTATGGCATGCAGGATCTTCACTGCATCATGCAGGATCTCTCATTGTGGGGTGTGGGCTCAGTAGTTGTGGTGTGCAGGCTTAGTTGCTCCACAGCATGTGGGATCTTTGTTCCCCTGCCAGGGTTCGAACCCATATCTCCTACATTGCAAGGCAGATTCTTAACCACTGGACCACCAAGGAAGTCCATACTTTTGGGAAGTTTGACAAATGACGATACTAACACCTGCATAATAGTAACTCTACCTTATTTTCTATAGGGCCAAACGTTCACACACATCACCTAGTGCAAGCCCTGCACATGTACCACACCCACACACAACCCTATAAGGAATTTAGTAGTCATGTTAATTCATTCTTTAAGATTCAGTTGCCATGGGGACTTCCCTGATGGTCCAGTGGTTAACACTGCCTTTCCAATGCATGGGGCACGGGTTTCATCCCTGATTGGGAAACTAAGATTCCACATGATGAACAGCCCACCCAACTCTCCCCCCATGAGAAAAAAAAGAGAAAAAAACTTCAGTTGTGATGCATTAATTCATTGCTTCTCAGTAGCTTGGTAGCAGTGAGAGTTCTTGGGGAGGGTGCAGACAGAAAGAGTTAAAGCCTCTATAAAGGGAACTTTATAGTGCTTTAAAGTGCTCCTATACATATTTTAAACTATTGGATAATTTTTTGTGAGACTACCTCTAATGGGGCTCTCCTCATAGACCTGGCCGTCTTCAAGGTCGGATCTTAGGAAGTGGTTCGTACACAGTACGCAGTGTGTATGAGCAGAGCTTGAGTCAAAGCCAAGACGTGATGTCTTGCTAATTGTAACAGTCCCCAAACCATAGCACAAGATGTTGCACACAAGATTTTAGAAAGTATGCTGATACCATTTAGTTACAACAGCAGAGTAAGGTCAGTTTCTTGCCTTCCCAGTTCCCCAAAGTCTCAGCTATAATAATGAAAGTTCCTCTCATTTCACTGAAGGAAATACTGTAACAAAGTATCTGCCTGAATGGGTGTCTTTAAATTTCTTAAACTAGCCCAGAGAGCTTGGTAGAAAAACAGATAGATTTATTGCAAACTATCTAGTTCCCAGGCCCTATAAATATCTACGCCTTTGGGGAAAACCATAGTATCTTCATTTTTCTTTTTTTCTTCTCTTGTATTTGGTTTTCACGAAGCTCTTTGCCCTAGTGAAAGTGAAAGTCACTCAATCGTGTCCAACTCTCTGTGACCACATGGACTATATGGTCCATGGAATTCTCCAGGCCAGAATACTGGAGTGGGTAGCCATTCCCTTCTTCAGGGGATCTTCCCAACCCAGGGATTGAACCCAGGTTTCCCACATTGCAGGCAGGTTCTTTATCAGCTGAGCCACCAGGGGAGCCCTAAGAGGGTTGTTAAAGGGTCATCCGAGAGGAGTTGATGGTCATTGGGATACCGTAGGAGTCATGCCTGGGCTTCTCCGGTGGCTCAGTGGTATCTGCCTGCAGTGCAGGGGTCACAGGAGACGCTGGTTTGATCCCTGGGTGGGGGAGATCCCCTGGAGGAGGGCATGGCAACCCACGCCAGTATTCTTACTAGAGAATCCCACGGACAGAGGAGCCTGGTAGGCTACAGCTCATAGGGTTGCAGAGTTGGACATGACTGAAGCAACTTAGCATACACGAAGGAGTCATGCCTAGGAAGAAAGCATTAGTAAAGGTGGGTAAGGACAGGATTAATTTGTAGACTAATACTGTCAGTAAGTGAAGAGGCTGGCACAACTTTGTAAATGGAAGCAACCCATAGCTTGTTAGTGATAGTTTGTTGTTATGTTATGAATGATGATGGGATATTCAGATAAGCTGAATAGATGAATGATGTCTTGCTAATTGTAACAATCCCCAAACCATAGCACAAGATGGTGCACACAAGATTTTAGCAGGTATGCTGATACCATTTAGTTACAACAGCAAAGTAAAGGTCAGTTTCTTGCCTTCCCAGTTCCCCAAAGTCTCAGCTATGATAATGAAAGTTCATCTCATTTCACTGAAGGAAATACTGTAGCAAAGTGTCTGCCTGAATGGGTGCAGATGAATTATCAATATATCAAGGTATATTCTAGGACCAGATAGTGAAGGGAAAGAGAAAAAAGTGTTTTCTTCCTTTCCTGGATTCAGAGTTCATAGGCAATTTCAGAAAAAGCACTCATTATTCCCTTTTTTGTAGTATTGTCTCCAGGCTACCCATAATGGCAGTCTGTCTCCCCTCAAATATTGAAGTGGAATATTGAATACTTTCTTGCTAGAAATAAAGCTACCTAAATGGAAATTCTTATTGAATATGGGTGACAGATAAATCCTTAACATTCCATTTTTAAAGGATATGTGTGCTCAGAGGAACTTCTATAATTAATTTCTGCAAACGTCAAAGCACTGAGAAACTTCAGACTCAGGATTTTGGTCGAGGTGATCACTACATTGTAAAGGCAAACAAGTTAGGTTTGTAAGGTTCCTGGCTGCTGCTCCGTGGTTTCCAGTGGTAATAACCCATTTTCCAACTTCTGACCTAAAAAACACCCATCTCCTGGAATCCAGGAGGACTCATAAGCAAGATCTCTCTATTTTTCCATTTATTCACAAATATTTACTGAGCAGAAAGAGGCTCTAAGGAGTACAGAAATACTGTGGTACACAAGATGGATAAGGTCCCTGCTCATGAAATTTAAATTCTAAATATAAATGTAGAAAAATAAATAAAAGTAGACAAAAATAAATGAAACAAGCAAGGTAATTTTGGATTGTGGTAAGCACATGCTATTAATATGAAGGAATGCAATGGCGAGGGAGGGAACAGGCAGCAACTTTAGATCAGGTAATCAGGGTAGGCCTCTGAGGAGCTGAAACTTGAAAGATTGGAAGGAGCCCATGCAAACGTCTGAAGGAAGAATGTTCTAACCAGAGGAGATAGGTGAAAATACCCTCAGGTAGAAGTCAGTGTTTCTAACCATGATGTGGGATAAACTGAAGAGATAGAGGGAGTTAGGACACTGAGGGCCTTAGAGACTGTGGAAGGAAGTTTGGATTATTAGAGAATTTTAAGAAAGGGGAAAACCTGGTTTAAGGTTTTTATATTACTACTCTAGCTACTGTGTAAAGAATGGGGGCTAGCACAGGAGCAAAAACAGCCTAACTAGAGGAAGCAGTGTGGTTTGGATTAAGATAGTGGCCACTGATAGAAGTGAGTAGATTTAGGGCATATTTGAATTACAGCCAGTAGACTTTGCTGGTGATTTGAATGTGGATCCGGATGAGGGCCATGAATGGCTCCTGGGTTTGGGGCTAAGCAGTGGGTTGGGTGGTAGTGTGAGTTACTGAGATGAGAGTTTGTGGGGAGGAATAGATTGGGGCAAAAAGCTGTGGTGGTTTTTTAGGGACTGAGGACAGGCATGATTTTGAAAGAATTTCAAGAAGAACAAAAGAGGCAGCTTTTAGAAAACCACAGACTATTTGGCTTAATATTCCCAAGTAAGGTTGGGGTTATAGATCACTAAAGAGGTGACTTGTGTACCAAGAAGAAAAAGTAAATTCTGTGATCTGGATTCCAGAAGAATCTTATTTCCTTCCTTCACAGGGTTATTATGAACTCGACTGGTTTGTCAAAAAAATATGTTAGATGTGAACTGGGACTTCATTGCAACCTGTCTTTATGGATAAGATGGAAAATAAGGACTTTTTCTTTTTCATCTTTTGGTTGAACTATAACTGTTGAAGGTGATTGCTAAATTGTGTGGTAGAATGTTTACTAGGCTGTCCTGAGAGCTTTGCCTTTGGTTGTAGCCTATTTTAATCTTTTTATCTGTGTCTTGAATGAAGGTACAAAGGGCATCATATCATTTTGGTGGGTGATTCAAAGCTGGAAGAGATACTGATTATGTCTGATGGCAGATGAAAAGTTTAGAAAAGTCTTGACAAGTTCATGATAGGCTGAATTAACAAGATGAAATTTAATAGGAATCAATTGATCCTGTACTGGAATCCAGATTTACCAACTAGTCAAATATAGGATAGAAGAGACATGATTTAGCATAAAAATTCTTAGGGGAGCGTTCAGTTCAGTCGCTCAGTCATGTCCTTTTCGACCCCAAGGACTGCAGTACACCAGGCTTCCCTGTCCATCACCAACTCCTGGAGCTTGCTCAAACATCAAGTCAGTGATGCCATCCAACCATCTCATCTTTTGTTGTCCCTTTCTCCTGCCTTCAATCTTTTCCAGCATCAAAGTCTTTTCCAATGAGTCAGTTCTTCAAATCAGGTGCCCAAAGTATTGGAGTTTTAGCTTCAGCATTAGTCCTTCCATGAATATTCAGGACTGATTTCCTGACTGATTTGATCTTCTTGAAGTCCAAGGGGCTCTCGAGTCTTCACTACCACAGTTCAAAAGCATCAATTCTTTGGTGCTCAGCTTTCTTTCCTTCTTTCTTTCAGGGGAGGATTAGACCAAGAAATTTAATTATTCTTAAGCCTAAAGATACATTGACAGTGTGATATATCTGCTATGAAAGCTAATGCATTTTATATGCTCCAGTGATAATATCTAGGACTGAGAAAGTGATACTTGCATCCGGCTATGTAATAAAAATTAGGTTTATTTTTCTTGATGTGGCATCCAGGAATAAAAATAAACCAGGGGTCTCTTCACAGACCCATAGGATGGCAAAAAGACTCAAACCTACGCCATGGAGTTACATCGAAGTAATTGGAAACACAGGGTCAAGAAAAGGGAAGATTCAGTAAATAATTTATAGCTGCCATGTGAAAAGGGGAATTGGAGATTTTTCTGGTGGTGCCCAGAGCAGAACCTGGGCCAAAGAATGGAATTTATAGGAAGAAAGAGGCCAAGTCAGAGCCATTAAAAAACTGGAGAGACTGTCTTGTACAGAAGCTATAGTTCTTGGCAGTGTTTAAGACTAGTTGATCGGGGTGTGTAGAAAGGAATCCTCCATCCTGAGTGGCCTTTCAGAATCTAAAGAAGATTTAACTTTGGGACCAGGAACCAGGTTTGATCACTCAAGAGTTTTTGTGTAGCAGAGTTTTATTAAAGTGAAAAGGGACAGGAAAGCTTCTGACGTGGACACCAGAAGGGGACGGAGAATGACCACCCCCCGCCAGTGTTAGCAAGGGAGTTACATACTTTTTAATTAGTTATTACAATAAATCAAAAGAATGTCTCAAGATTGTAAAGCTCTTACTAAACCCACTCCCATAATTTACATTTTAAGATAACAGAGTTCAGTCCAATTCTTTGGGACCCCATGAATCGCAGCACGCCAGGCCTCCCTGCCCATTACCAACTCTCCCATTTACTCAAACTCATTAGCCAGAAGGTTTTCAGGAAGAAGAAACTGTCCTCAAGCAGGATACATTGTTGTTCTTTAATCCTTAGTACAGAGTTTAAACTGAGTTGTTTGTTATGTAATCATCAGTTCCTGGCTTAAAGGAAAAAATGTTTTATGTGACTAAAACTAAGAAATGTAGAGGAAAACAAAAAATTTGTCCTTTCCTCTTCCTTGAGAACCCTAGACCCCTGTCTCTGCTTTGAGAGCCCCAGACCCCTTTCTCCTCCTCCAGGACTCCTGACTTCTTATCAACCTGCCTAGGAATTGACTCTCATCACCAGTCGTAATACTCCATGGCTAACTCTGTTCAGCTAACTCTTGTCACAGCTTTTTGCCTTTTTCTACTCAGTGGCTCCAGTGGCAAATGAAGGAGGAGATGGCCAGTGATCTATTTGGGTTTCATGGGAGTCTGGTTTCATAAGTCAAGACTTGCGGATACTGTTGGTTGACAAGATGGCAAAAAACCTTCTTTTTCAGTGCAGTGGCTGATTGTCTCTCTTACTTTGTTATTATCTTCCTAGGTGACTGTAGGGCGAGGATTTGGTGTTACATACCAGTTGGTATCAAAAATCTGCCCTCTGATGATTTCCCGAAACCACTGTATTTTGAAGCAGAATGCTGAGGGCCAGTGGACAATTATGGACAACAAGGTACAGTAATCCACGGAAGCCTAGTTACTTTTATTGGATTTTTTTTTTAATTGGAGGATAATTGCTTTACAGTATTGTGTATCAATGTGAATCAATCATAGGTATATGCATATCCCCTCTCTCTTGAATCTCCTTCCTGTCTATTTATTTTTAGGTTAGGGTTTTTTTCCTCCCCAAAGGTAATACGTGGTAGAAAATTAAAAGATTTAAAAATATATCTTCTACCATAGCTACTCACTTGTCTTGCCCAGAAATGACTATTTCTCTATGCTGCCAGAGGTTAGATTATGCCAAAATACGTTACTTTGTAGGGAACATCTGGGCTTCCCTGCTGGCTTAATGGTAAAGAATTCATCTGCCAATGCAGGAGATGAGGGTTCGATCCATGGGTCAGGAAAGTCCCCTGGAGAGGGAAATGGCAACCTGTTCCAGTATTCTTGCCTGGGAAATCCCACAAACAGAGGATCCTGGGGCTGCAATCCATGTGGTCACAGAAGAGTGAACATGACATAGCGACTGAACAGCAAAGGAACACCTGTGTTGGGGCAATGGGTCCTGTTCCAGAAACTAGACTAAGTTACCAGTGAATTTTGTCTCTTGTGAGTCAAAGGTCCAGAGACCTTGGGAATCTGATGAAGATTCTAGGGTACACCTGTGATTCAGGGCATGGGGAACAGGGGGAACTGAGCTGACTACACTTACTCCTTCTTTTTCTCACTCCTTTCCATCAGGGCAAACCCCTTCCCTCGCTTTTAACATGTTTTATGTGTTAGTGCTCTAAGGAAGATTTCCTCAAAGTTTTTTTTGTTTGTTTGCTTGAAACAAATTTGAAAACCACAAATACTAAGGAAGTTGAAATAATGTATAGACCCAGCAATTTAGGAAGTACCTAAAGTGCATATGTGAAGTTTGTACCGAAAGTGCAAATACAGTGAAAATATAGACTATGAAGTGAGAGAAATTCTACTGTAACCAGTTAAGGATTAGGAAGTATGAAATGTCTTTTGACACCAGTTTGCGCTGCTCTGGTTGAAAGGATTTTAAAGATACTTGTTAGAAGGAAAGGTATTAAGATCATTCTGAGACCAATGCCAACAGGTGTGGGGGAGTTCCCTCCGCACCCGCATCTGTCTACCTGAGATAGCATCAGATTCTACAGGTAGAGGGCTTAGTCCCACAAGACTGCTTTCCACTTCAGATACCAGTCACAACCCCAGGTTAACATCTGTGCTTCAACTGGCTATATGTTGGAGGTTCCAAGGACCCTGTCCTTGAACTTTGGGTGCCAGTTGCAAGTCCAGGTTTTAACCTGTACTTCTGGCTGACTGGCTAAATCAGAGGTTCCCATGGCCACCTCCCATTTTGGATTTAATTAATCAGCTTCAGCTGCTGCTGCTACTAAGTCGCTTCAGTCGTGTCTGACTCTGTGCAACTCCATAGACAGCAGCCCACCAGGCTCCCCCGTCCCTGAGATTCTCCAGGCAGGAATACTGGAGTGGGTTGCCATTTCCTTCTCTAATGCATGAAAGTGAAAAGTGAAAGTGAAGTCGCTCAGTCGTGTCCGACTCTTAGCGACCCCATGGACTGCAACCCACCAGGTTCCTCCGTCCATGGGATTTTCCAGGAAAGAGTACCAGAGTGGGTTGCCATTGCCTTCTCCAATCAGCTTCAGAGTGATTCACAACTCAGGAATACATTTTCTTACATTTACTGGTTTATTGTAAAAGGATGTGGTCGGGGGTACAAGTGAACATCCTCATGAAAAAGATGCATCAATTCAGTTCAGTCACTCAGTCGTGTCTGACTCTTTGTGACCCCATGGACTGCAGCACGCCAGGCTTCCCTGTCCATCACCAACTCCCAGAGCTTACTCAAACTCATGTCCATCGAGTCAGTGATGCCATCCAACCATCTCATCCTCTGTTGTCTCCTCCTCCTGCCTTTAGTCTTTCCCAGCATCAGGGTCTTTTCCAGTGGGTCAGTTCTTTACATCAGGTGGCCACAGTATTGGAGCTTCAGCATCAGTCCTTCCATGAATATTCAGGACTGATTTCCTTTAGGACTGTATATGGGAAAAGACACACAGCTTCCATGCCCAAACCCCATCCTTTTGGGTTTTTTTTGGAGACTTTATTACATATGTGTAATTGATTGAATCACTGGCCAGTGATGATCAACCTCTAACCTCTCTCCCCTCCCAGGGCTTGAGGGGTGGGACTGAAATCTGATGCTAACTAAAATAGACTGAAAGTTCCTGCCCTCCAGTCACTGGATTGGTTCCCCTGGCAACCAGACCTCGTAGGTGACCCTGGGGTATTCCAAAAGTCACCTCATTTACATAACAAAGGATACCTTGATCTCTCTTACCACTTAGGAAATTTCAAGGGTTTTTAGAAACTGTGCTAGAAATGGGCATGAATACCAAATATATATATTTCTTATTATAATTCAGATTATCACAGGTATCCTGCTGGCCTGCCCAGCAGCCTCATTTTGCATGCATAAAACTGCTAGATTTAAGCTGTTGGAGAAAGTATCTTCCTGCACTAGGATTAAGTTGAGTTGGCATGATGTTGAAGGAGAGCATAAATGCTAAGTAAATTGGTTCAGCACTCTTGGCAAGGCCCTGTGAGCAGAATAGAAATTGGCACTGAAAAGGGGACCTTAGAGATGATCTAGTTTAACCCCTTCTGGGGACACTTGAGTCTGAACAAACCTTGCTGCTTGGAGCAATTCAGCTTTCCGCCTCCCAGCAGCTAGAGCAGTGGTTCTCAACTTTCCAATTTTGCCCATACATGGGATACTTTTAAAAAATACTGATGATATCACATTAAAATTAAGAATTTCCATTCACCAAAATATATCATTAAGAGAGTGAAAGCATGATTAAGTGGAAGATACTTGCTAAAGATATAATCAGTGAAGGGCTTATACTTGGATGTGTTTGTGTGTGTGTGTGTGTGTGTGTGCACGTACACACACACACACACTCTTAGTTGCTCAGTCGTGTCCAACTCTTTGCAACCCCATGAACTGCAGCCCACTGGGCTCCTCCGTCCATGGGAATTCTCCAGGCAAGAATACTGGAGTGGGTTGCCATGCCCTCCTCCAGGGGATCTTCCCAACCCAGGGATCCAAACCAGGTTTCCTGCATTGCAGGCAGATTCTTTACCATCTGAGCCATTGGATGTAAACAGAACTCCAAATCAATAAGAAAAAGAAAGATAATCCAGTTTTAAAAATGGGCAAGAACCAGGCGCTTCACAAAAGATTCTTTCTGATTGTTCAGTATCCTTGAAACATTGTTCAGCTTCATTAATGATCTGTGAAATACATGATGGAATACCACGACACACCCTGTAGTCAGAGTAACTATAATTACATTTTAATGATGCCATATATTTACATGGGTATGGAGCCAAGTAGTCTTTTGATAGAAATATAAATAGGTACAACTATTTTGGAAAAATATTTGTCATTATTTATTAAAGTTGTGTATGTATATATGTATACATACATACATACATACATTGTTGTTGTTGTGTAGTGCTAAGACATGTTCCACTCTTGTGACCCCATGGATTGCAGCCCCCAGGCTCCTCTGTCCGTGGGATTTCCCAGGCAAGACTGGAGTGGGTTGCCATTTCCTTCTCCAGGGGGATCTTCCCATCCCAGAGATTGAACCCATGTCTCCTGCATTGGCAGGTGGATTCTTTACCACTGAGCCATCTGGGAAGCTCATTTTCCTCTTCAGATTGTGGAGTAAAGCTGTGATGGATATTACGAAATGATGAACATGAATATTCTGAGGGGCCCTATCATTTTCACTTTTATTTGCTTCACTGTCCTTTTCTTTTTTACAATAGTAGAAGATATTAGTTTTCACAATCAATAGCTAGACAAAAAATAAAAGATAATTACAAATCACAAATCACAATGATAACATGATTAATCTAACAATATAAAATAATTACATACAATTTGGGGGGTCAAGCAGAGTGATGTGGTAAGTGGAAGTACATACATGCACATGAAAACATCTGCTCAGCCAGTCTATATTTTTTGGTTGGTGCATTTAATTCATTTACATTTAAGGTAATTTTCAATATGTATGATCCTGTTACCATTTTCTTAATTGTTTCAGGTTTATTTTGTTTAAGTCTTTTCCCTGTCTTGTGTTTCTTGCCTGGAGAAGTTCATTTAGTGTTTGTTGCAAATAAAGCTGGTTTGGTTGTTCTGAATTCTCTTTAACTTTTGCTACTCTGGAAAGCTTTTGCTTTCTCTGTCAATCTGAACAAGAATCTTGCTGGGTAAAGTATTATTCTTGGTTTTAGGTTTTCCCTGAACAAGAGTCTGGCTGGGTAGAGTATTCTTGGTTGTAGGTTCTTCCTTTTCACCACTTTAAATATATCATGCCATTCCCTTCTGGCTTGTAGGTTTTCTTTGAGAAAATCAGCTGATAACCTGATGGGGGGTTCCCTTATCTGTTATTTGTCATTTTTCCCTTGTTGCTTTTAATATTTTACCTTTATCTTTAATTTTTTTCAGTTTGATTACTGTGTGTCTTGATGTGTTCCTCCTTGGGTTTATCCTGCCTGGGACTCTTTATGCTTCCTGGACTTGGTTGACTATTTCCTTTCCCATGTTAGGGAAATTTTCAGCTATTATCTTTTAAAGTATTTTTTGTGTCTTTTCTCTCTCTCTTTATCTGGGATCTCTATAACGGAAATGTTGTTGCATTTAATGTTGTCCCAGGGGTCTCTGAGCAACAGTTTCTCTTTTCATTTTCACAGGTCTTTTAGGCTGTCTTCATTTTTTCTTCATTCTTTTTTCTATATTCTGTTCTGCAGCAGTGATTTCCACCATTCTGTTTTATGGATGTGAGACATCTGTAAGTGACCACAAGGTCACTTATCCATTGTTCTGCCTCAGTTATTCTGCTGTTGATTCCTTCTAATGTATTGTTATCTCTATTTGCTTGTTTTTTTAGTTTTTCTAGG